TTTACTTAGCAAACCATCATTCAGGGTTTTAAAACATTCCACTTTGTACGACATAAACGAGGGTTGAGGGTTCGAATTCTAGCCCGACACTAACCCGACACACAAGACATTAATCCGCATCTACCCCTCTTCACCCAGGTGCACATTGATACATGAACACATTGATGGTGTCATTAAGATTGTAGGGCCCTCAGGAAGAAAAGCAATGAGGCAGTTGAGGCTTCCCTGGTAAATAAAATTATTATTATTATTATTATTGTTTTATTATGAATTCAAAATATATAAGAGTTGGATTTGTCGATATACACAAGAATTTTTCGGATAAGTATGATACGACGGTATTAACGATTCATCAAGTCACGTGAAGGAAGTGTTAAAAACATTCTCTACACAAGGAAAAGGGCCAAATAGAAGGGCAGGCCTTAATATAACTCACTTGATCCAAGGATTATTCAGTCTTTAGACTGTTGTTCCTATCCATGGTTTCCTTTGGTTGGGGTTGACATCATATTTATCTAGGGCATCTTTCCACCACTTCGCAAGTCCATATTTGAATCGAATGATAGTGGTACTCTCCACAACATCGCCTGGAAGACCATTCCACACATTGATTATTCTCTGGCTGAATGAGTTTTCCCTAAGTGTCTTCCGGCATTTTAGCCTGTAAAGCTTAAAGGCGCACATTTCCGCCAGTGTAGTTATCGCTGCTCTAGTCATCGCCATCTTGGTTCCGAAGATCGACTTCTAATTTGCATACAGATGTCAATCAAAGTACGGCCTGCCTTCGCCAAGCCAGCTGATCGCTGCCGATCGTGACGTCACGAAAGTGCAGCCGAATCTTAGAGCCGAACTGCGATTGGTATTACAAGTATCTTGTATCATACTGTGTGTTCTTTATTTTCCGCCAAAAAAACAACAAAAAACAACAAAAAAAAAATCAAAATTGTTCTGATTATGTTGATCATAATTTGTATACTCATGACTGTGTCTGTGGATTCTTTGTATGTCAAGCACCTCGATGTAGAGGTATAGTGGTCGAGTGGGTACGTCGCTGGACTTTCGATCACAAGGTCCACGGTTCGAGTCCCGCCGCCGCACTAATCCCCTTTGGCAAGACATTGATCTACATTTGCCACACTCCACCCATGTGAAGTAAATGGGTATCTGGTAGGAATGTATTCCTTGAAACACAGCGCGCGTAACAGCTGCACTGCTAAAGCCAGTGTATTTATGCTGCATTATTGTAGAGCGCTGATAAAGTAAGTGCTAGGCGCTATATAAGCAAGGATAATGATAAAGTAAGTGTTAGGCGCTATGTAAGCAAGGATAATAATTATTTATTATTATTTATGCAGGGATATCAATTTTAGGTGATTTCAATGATTTTAACTTTCTAGAAATCGTAAGAGATGATAGGATTAAACAAGCAGTGGATAAACCCACGCGGGATTGTAACATACTTGACAAGATTTACACGAGTTTTATACAGGTATTTTGACTCTTCCACCAATTGGCAAAAGGGACCACAACTGTATCATTTGGTCTCCTGATAATTTTTTTAAACGAACAACTAAAAGGAAAAACAAGATTGTACATCCATTGAGAGACAGTGGGATACGCTTGTTTGGTCAATGGTTAACTGCTCATACATGGGAGGAAGTTTTTCAAAACTCTGATTTAATGTTAATGTGTACCAGGTTAATCGATACTCTTCAAACTCACCTTGATTTATACTTGCCTACATGTGAAATAAATTTGTGCAATACTGATAAACCATGGGTAACTCCACGTATAAAATCACTTATCCGTGACAGACAAAGCGCTTTTAAGAATGGAAACAATTATCTTTGTAAACATTTACGCAATAAAGTTGCTGAAGCTATATCTGTTGCTAAAAAGGATTGTTAAAATTCTCGTATATATACAAAGAGAAAAGATAAATAATCCGTCAGCTTGGTACAAACATATTAAAATACTTACAAACGGTAAATGTGACCCTGTTCCAATTACTATTCCTGGTATTGAATCACAACAACCTCATTGTTATATTAAGAAGCTGCTAATGCAATTAATAATTTGTTTGTGTCTGTTGCCTCTGATCTTCTCCTTAAGATAGGAAGACTTTACCATTTTTGTTTACCTTCAAAGTGCAATAGCCCAGAAATTAGTTACAAAATCGTTAGCAATTCATCCAGCATGCCAGAACTGGCTACCTCTCAAAAAAGAAATTAGAATATCATTACGTCAGGCTTCTACATATCATAATTTCAAATGCAAAACCAAAAACCAACCGCTTAAAAAACAGCCCTCTACCATATTTGATCAATCTAACTATCCATAATTCAATGCTTTTTTAGCTACATGTTGATACATATCGATAAACCATATTCCCTTTGACAGTCGATATGAAAATTCATATTCTTTACTATGTCTGAAATTGTATGTATTAAATAAATCGAACATGAAGCTATATGACTGCTCTAAAGAAAGTTTTGTTCTCTCGGTTTCTACTCAAGAAAGAAAAGTCCCGGCATAAAACAACCTTAACACCTGTTTGACGAATCTGTTCAATGCAACATGTACATTTTCATTTTTTTATATATAGAAAGAGCTTCAAAAAACATGGAATATGATCTTTTCTCATTGTACAAAATATATATACAAATATACGACAAAATTACCAGTGCAATGGCAAATAAAGACAACGTATTAATATTTTGGTAAAGTGTTTGATACGCTCAACCATGCTATACTGACTCGAGAACTTGATAGATGTGGAATTTGAGAGCACTACTTGTCAAGGGCGCATCGAGGGGTTGTTTCGATTGTTCAAACACCCCCCCCCCCTTGGCAAACAGGGGTGCTTTCCAAGGGGGAGGGGGTGAATGTTGAGGGATGAATAGGAGTGTTCTCTCCTCTCCCCTTGAAGCAAAGAAAAGTTCTGAAACAAACTAACAAACAAATATTCAAAATTTAAAAGGTTTAATTATATTATTGATTTATATTATGATATGGTTATAGAATATTTTAATTCATAACCCCCAACTGTGTTCTTAAAGGTTTGATTATATTGTTGATTTATATATTATGATATGATTATATAATATTTTAATTCATATTTACCTACAGTGTAATTCGTACTTTACTTTCTATCAGGCGCGTACGCAGGATTTTTTTCTAGTGGGGGGGGGGGTAAAAATTGAAGATCTCGCTTAAAATTTCGCAACGAAATAAATAAGCGGGGGGGGGGGGTAAGATAATAGAAAGGGGGTGAGAGCACATTTTTCTTTTTCCCCCTCCAAAACACACACATACAAAAAGTCAAGGGGGAGGGGGTTTAACCCCCCCCCCCCCCCTGCGTACGCGCCTTCTTTCTATTATCGTTGCAAAATGCAGAAATAAAATCAAACAAACTAACAAACAATATTCACCGTATTTTACATAATATAACTCTGCACAATATAATAACTTGAGAAACCTCTTTATATAATTTGATATTGACGGAAGTTTGATTCGAGAAATCATTGACAACATGAAGGGAAGCAAGTCAATGTAGCCAACTACTACGACTGGGTACGTTCATCTAATGATATAGCAGTCACTAGCTTGACAAACTGTAAATATAAGGCGTACAATGTACTAAGCAATAAGGCCTAAGCATGCTAAGTGGTATATAACGGGGAAATGGAAGTTAATCACTTGATCAGTGATTAATAAACCTGGTCCATCAAAATCTCAACCAGTTCAACCTTCACAAGTTTGTTAGGAACTTTGTACTGGATATCACAAGCTCCACCACTGGTGACCGAGTAGTGCTGGAGCTTATTGAACGCTCCTGGTCTAACGAGGTGGATCTTCGGTGGATCTATCCTACCATCTGATCGGAGTCTGTCATAGATACAGTTACTGCCTCGAAGTTCTGTGTCAATCTAGTAAAACAAAATTAAACAACAAGAATGATATAATCATAATAATAAAAACATTTCAAAATGTCGTATTTTTTCCCGTTAAGTATCACCAGTATTAAAGATAACAATGTATAATTAAGTCAATAGAATAACTCTTAGGTTCAATAATACAATTGATGCCTTGATATAGAGTACCAAAAGTGCTAACACCATATTTGCTCGTCGTCTAGGTTACTGGTTTTAAACAACGGAGACTGCGCATGAGGTCCACTGCGAAATCATTCAAGCAACGAGCTGGAGCAAGGGGAATTCAGTGTTTGAGGCTGGTTTGATCACCACACCATGTATTGTTTAGCACAACATTGTTTGGAAACAGCAACCTTGTCATCTTTGCTTTCCTAACGTAACACTTCGGTACCCTTTAAGCAGAAATGACATACATTGCACAAAGGACGAATGATAAAAACTCTTTGTTGTGACACGGCTTTGAAAGAACGGATTTAAATAATGGGGTGATAAATAAGAAAAGGTAGCTAGACGTATAATCTCACCATTTTCTTTTGATCCTCACTGACTGTCACACTGCCAGTTATCTCGATGAAAAGGATATAACATGGAGCAGCATTTCCTGGAAATGGAAGACAGATAAATAAAACTAATAATTAATTCGGTAGTCATAATCCTAATAATTCAAATGTATATTTACTTTGCACTCGTTGTTATTTTCATGGATATATTTTGACATTATTTAGGTTCATCCATATTTGGAAATATTCATAGTACCTTAATATTTCATCTCATTTCAAAGTATCATTCGTGACAGCTATTTCTTGGAAACGTCAACTGGCATGTTTTGTATCTGATAATTAAGTAAGTAGACTATTTCTAATATTACTAGTTGTCTTTGTCTTATTCTGTGATTGCTATAATCAACGAATCGCCATGCACATCGCTTGCTGAAATCGGGAAGATTCTGTATTACACCTAACGGGACATGTTAGCCTGCATCATCACGAGGCCAATTAGTTTACTTCATCAACTCTTTCTGTCAGGCCTAGGAAAAATTTATCCGCCGCGTCACATACTAGGCTTTTATATTATGAAAACGTATTGAGAGCATTCCAACATACCATGGGTGGCTGTATCGATCAACGTACTCTCCGCCACGGCGTAATTAGTCAACTCCACCTCAATCCACTGATCAATAGCGGTCTTGAGCGAGTAGTAGAAGACTTTCTGATCAATCTTCTCAAAAAATAAGTTCAACATCTGTCCATTCCTAAACAGACACAAACGGAGGTAATATAATATTTTTGAATCATTGGATATTATTGAAATCATTATTTATTTCAAATTCATTATCGTGTGGCTAACATTTTCTAAATCTTTCATATACATGTATATAATTATATTCAAACACATTTGCAATCAAATTTAACACGCGCTGCAATTTTTATACAGATTCTTCAAAGACCAGATTATATAATATATAGAAAAAGATAATCAGAGAGAGAAGGGAAGGGGGCATGAGTAGGGGAGAGAGAGAGAGAGAGAGAGAGATAAAGAAAGAAAGAAAGAGACGGAAAGACATAGGCAGAGGCATGAGAGGGGAAGAGAGGGAGAGAGATTTACAGATAGAGAATGGAGAAAGGGTCAGGGGTGGGGTATAATTCATAACAATATTACTATCTTCACCCCAAAGTGTATAAATAGACCTAACCTGTATCCGAATTCAAAGACCGGTGTTGCCTGTTCAAATCGTGTAACATTGATGACGTCACCCATGCGATACCGATAGAGCCCGGATTTTGATGTGATGACGATCTCATAACTCTCACCTACTTGGAGTTCTTGGGGTAAGAGGGTAGCAGGTTCTTCTTCATCTCTGATCACCACATGAATTTTAAAAGAAGGCAAAATACGGAAATTTGTAGCGGACCAGTGGGGGACCAATCACTCAAAAAAATATAAGTTGATTGCAGCCAGTAAAACCCATTAACTTTGATGATGATGATGATAATAACGATGATGATGATGATGATAATAACGATGAAGATGACGATGATGATGACGATGATAATGAAGGGGAAGGGTGGACAGGACTTCCACATAGTCGGGGTAACATTTTACAATTTATTTATTGGGTATTCAATGGTGTCTTCTATGAAGCTCAACCATGCATGAACGTTTTAATGAGAACAGCCCTAGCCCGATTGATCTCAACTCCCAAAGCAAAGGGCTCCCTCTGGCAGGGTACTTACAGTTCAGCGATGGGGATGAATTCGTAGAAGTTGTGAAGAAAAGAAGGAACATAGCCGAGCCTCTTCTCTAATGGCCACATGTTCATTGCAATAAATCCCTCAGATGCGCCGATTACGTAAGAATATATTGGAATATCTGAAAGATAATTGTTTAGTTAGAATTGCCATGAGAAATAGCAAGTGAAATATAAATTAAACAAGTTTGGAGTTTAAATCTCCAGTGGTTCTTGAAATATCATGATAACAATCTCAATGTATGGAATTTCATAAGTTGACCTCTGTGACCCTTGACCTTTGAACTATGTGCTCCAAAATCTAATCAGATTGTCTTCCTATGGTGATACACACTATCATTAAGTTTGAAGTTTAAATCTCCAGTGGTTCTTGAGATATTATGATATGGTGATACATACTATCATTAAGTTTGAAGTGAAAATTCTCCAGTGGTTCTTGAGATATCGCGATAACGATCTCAATGTATGGAATTCCATAAGTTGACCTCTGTGACCCTTGACCTTTGACCTACGTGCTCCAAAATCTAATCAGATCGTCTTCCTATGGTGATACATACTATCCTTAAGTTTGAAGTTTTTACATCTCCAGTGGTTCTTGAGATATCATGATAACAATCTCAATGTATGGAATTTCATAAGTTGACCTCTGTGACCCTTGACCTTTGACATACGTGCTCCAAAATGTAATCAGATTGTTTTCCTATAGTGATACACACTATCACCAAGTTTGAAGTTTAAATCTCCAGTGGTTCTTGAGATATCATGATAACAATCTCAATGTATGGAATTTCATAAGTTGACCTCTGTGACCCTTGACCTTTCACATACGTGCTCCAAAATCTAATCAGATCATCTTCCTATGGTGATACATACTATCCACAAGTTTGAAGTTTAAATCTCAAATGGTTCTTGAGATATCGCGCTAACAAACTCAATACACCAGTTTACAGTTGTATCAGTGCGCATGCGCAGACAGTTGACCTCGGGTCATTGGCCCCAAAATTGGGGCCAATAACCTCTGACCTCTGGTATTTATGCGTAAATTAAAATTGCGCCCATGCAAATGATGATGTGCGCGCACAACGCAGCGCGCAGGCAGTGATGTCATCATTATTTGCATGGGCGCAATCTTAATTTACGCATAAATACATGACTCCTATAGGTCATTAGCTTTGTTTAAAATGGCGCACACAACTGTAAACTGGTGTATACAAGGAATTTCATAAGTTGACCTCTGTGACCTGTGACCGTTGACCTACGTACTCCAAAATCTAATCAGATCGTCTTCCTATGGTGATAAATACTATTCCCGAATCTTAAGTTTAAATCTTAAATGGTTCTTGAGATATTGTGATAACGGTCAAACGGGACGGACGTACGGACGGACAATCCGAAAACATGATGCCTCCGGCACCACCTTCCGTGGCGGAGGCATAAAAAGACAACACCTGAGGAAATATTCGAATACAACATGAAAATAATGTCTAACCGCCAGTACATAGTATTGATCTTCGTATTGATATATAAAGAGTACTACTACTACTACTACTACTACTACTACTACCATTACTGCTACTACTACTACTACTACTGATACTACTACTACTACTACTACTACTACTTCTACTACTACTACTTCTACTACTACTACTACTACTACTATTTGAACTACTACTACTTCTATTACTGCTCATCCTCTTCTACCTCCTCCTCCTACTACTACTACTTCCACGACTACTATTAAAAAAGGAGAAACCCCTACATTCACCACCTGCAAGATTGAAATTCATGAAAGTTTCAGTACAAAGTAATCCGGGGATCTCAGTCATGTAGAAATACTGTAAGCATGCGTGACAACAGGTTTTCCAGACACTCCCTAAACGAGGATGTCTTCTGAAACCTAAATGAGGATTTCGCGTGGTTTTCTTTCCTGAATTCACACCATGATTACGGGTAATTCAAAAAAGGTGTACTCCTAAACAAGTATTGTAAAATACTAACCCTTGAGCATTTTGAAGAGCGATAGGATTACCATTTAAGTTGTTGACAATGTAAAATATTTCAAATTGCGCTTCTGATGGTAAATTCACAATGTAAAACATTATTTCAATAGAGAAGCAATAGCATCCACCTGTAAATTTCTAAATGGGTTTAATGCACAGCCCTCATAAGTCCTTTCTTTGAAAAAAAAAAAGAATTACATTTCAAATTTGATCTATTTTTATATAAAGTACATGTAGTGTTTACAAAAAGTGCACAGTGTACAGTGAATAGTTACTATTCTACTTTGCAAAACAAAATATAAGGGATCAGCTATATGGGCGTGAGACTCGGTAGGTCTTGGTCGGTATCGTAGGCATCCGTCTTGATCTACTGAAGATCTTAAGATCGTTTCAAACCGACTCGCACTCATTATAAGCTCCCTCTCGCGGTCGTCGTCCACACTATGAGCAAACTTAACACGACGAATTATTACCCCTTTTTGGCCCTGAGGGCTAGAAAAATACCCTTAAACGTATACGGGCGCGTAGAGCAGGATTTTGCATCATTTTGAAGGAGTACTCTTTTTCGTCAAAATGTCCCAAAATGGACGTTTTTGAACCCCTTAACCCTTACTGTATTGGGGGGGGGGGGGGGGTCACGCATGCTTACAGTAGGGACTTTTAGATTCGCACGAAGACAATAGGTCTATGCTACGATCGACGTCCTTTTAATGCACTGCCTTGAATGGACGTCACACGTATCAGTCCACGCAAATCTAAAAGTCCCTATTATAGAGATATTGACTGCTACGAGAGGACTGGCTGTTTTTATACGCTCAAGGGAAATTTGCCTCCGCTGCTATTACCCCGAGGCGCGCCTGAGTGGGTGGCGCGCCGAGGGGTGATAGCAGCGGAGGCAAATTTCCCAAGAGCCAGTATAGAAACAGCCAGTTCTCGAGTATTTAAGCAGTCGATATCCCTTTCGTACGCCGAATTAAAACACAAATCTACCAAGAATTCTTACCTTATCCTTTTATCGAGTAAAGGTTGGTTAAAACATTACGGAAAATCCGAGACACTGTCTGTTTATCTTTGACGGAAAAAGGACTGAAATTTTCAATCAGTTGGGAATTGCAGACAAAAAGTACCGTGTCCGCGCTCGCTCAAAGAACATTTTAACACTTACACCGATGGGTATTGCAGCAAAATCGGGCAAAGTAAACAGATGAGAGTGCTCAAAAGGTCACACCGTGGAGTTTCAAATTTACGTTTGATCGATTAAAACTTGATTTTGTTTCTTCTTCTTTGTACCCACCTCCTGTATACTTCCTTGCAAGTCGAAATCTGGTGTCCTGTGGGTCTACGCCCATGATCACTTTGACGTGAGGCCACACCCTAGGGACTATGTGCTCGAAACCCTTCTTGAATTCCTTCCTCAACTCCTCCGCCCGAATGGGGTCGCCCTTTCCTTCCAGCTCACGGGAAAGCTGCTCGCGGATTCCTGCGTCGAGATTGAGAGAAGACAGGATGGTCCCGTGTTCGATGTCTTCAACGATGTCTTGCCAACAATTCCCCAGCTGTACCAACATCGTCTCAAAGAAGGTTACGAAGTTAGAAGCGATTATTCCTATAAAGCAAGTACATCACATCTTTATGAATTATTAATCTTCGTTTTATTATTGATAGATTTGAATTTATTACCCCTATGAAATACTGAATTTCCTAGGCTTGAAACTCACTTATCTGGTGTATCTTGAAATATTATTAACATGGGTTCATTGTCTATTGTATTTATCATGTTTCTATATAGCTCAATTGAAATAAAATTTATTTACTCATATTTAAAGATAAACTTTAGTACTGGTAATGCGATTGCATTGTGAAAGAAAAGGTGTGGAAAGGATCAGAAACAGTTGATCATATAGCATGTAAGTATTGGTGTGCACTGCAAGGTTCTGGAGTCATCAAAATCATAATAAATTTGATCGAGTCTTGGTAAAGTAACAAGAACTGTACACAGAAAGCTACATATGGGTCTTTCTATGCTCATTACTCAGCCAGTATACATTTTCTTCCAAAATTGTTCGGCACATGTCATTTATTTGTAATTTTGAACATTCAGTGTAAGTTTCGTTTGATTCTGTGAGAATTTTTTTTTTTATTTTTTTTTACCGGAACTGGAGTTTATCTAATGGACTGTAATTTAGTATTTAAAAATTCCCCTTTCGATCCAGTACATTAATATGACTGGTATTCTAGCCCCATTGGCGCTATACTTTACCTATAGATTTGTCTCTCAGTGCAAACAGCAGGTGAATATAAGTGGCTTCATACGCTGTCAGGATAGTGAAGCCAGCCGGGGGTGTGTTGAAGATTGACATTAGGAGGGCGTTGTCTGCTGGGATCGTGAGCGCCGATTCTATTGGTACACCAGCCTTAGAGCGAGATATCACCGGATGAACGTAATACTGCAATCGTTTCTGTAGCGGTCCAAGAACAGGAAACGCCTCTTGGAGCAATCCCGTTACGACTGCTGATATGTCCATTAGGATACCTTGTCTATCTACTATCGGGAAGTACTTTGGTTGTCCGGTCGTACCTGAAGTACGAGTGAAAGACTTCGGTCTCACCGCCGTCAGGACGCTACCTTCCCCGTCCATCATGCGTTGCACGTAGGGGCGGTAATGGTCGTATTTGGTTAGAGGATGTTTGCTGCGGAAGTCCTTGATGTTCCGCATAGAGACCAGACCGTAGTCCTTACCATACGCAGTGTCCTTGTTGTCTCTGAGGATACCGAGCAGGATGCGTTCTTGGTAGTAACCGGGTCGTTTAAGGGTCTCACGAAATTTTGGGAGCAGTGAGCGAGCTTTATGAGAAGAGGCGACTGAGAAAACGAAGTGCAAGAGAAGCTTCTTGATGCTTTGGTCAGGCGATGTCTTGAGCATCATTAACCGAACAAAAATCAGAGATACGCTTCCAGATACTACAATAAGCACTCCTGTTACGACACACATAGATAGGGATAAGATGAGTTAGTAAACGATATTATCATGCTAACGCATTTAAATGTTTTTTCATTTGCAAATTAACATTTGCAGAAAACTTTATACTCCTTGACTGCTAAAGAAAATGTCACCGGTATGGAAATATTGTTATCTGCATTAAAAATTGCTTTAGTAAACGATACGAATATAATACTACCGCCATTAAATGGGTTTTTTTTCACAGAAAATTGCCGCCATTTTTATAAGTGCTGTGAATCATCGCCATCTTCATCATGTGCGATATACGTGAGCTTGTAATGGCATATTCACATGAAGAGGAAGGAGAGACGACACAAAATTCGTGAAAATTACGTACAAATAATATGCTTACAATGATTAGATTGAGCGAATTGGGTTAGATATGAACATCGGCCAGGGTCTAATAACACTGGTATCTAACCAAGGAAAGACAGAATGTTGATTGAAATTATCGACCAATTAATCTTGTGAATGTGGACTTGAAGATCGGTTCGAAAGCACTGACAGAAAGAATGAAGAAAGTTTGACCCGATTTGATCCACCCTGATCAAGAAGCATTTTTGAAGGATAGATATCTTGTATAAGCTGTTCGGACAGTAAAAGGCGCTCTTTTCTTTTCTAATTATTAAAATATTCTGGATATTCTTTTAAATCTAAGTATCCAAAAGGCGTTTGATTCGCTTTAAGTGCTCCAGTCTTTGAACTTTGGATGATCTTTCTGTAACTATTTTAGGGTTTTATATACCAATTTAGAGAGTTGCGTGATGAATAGGGGTGTTTCATATGGCTGTTTTCTGGTTGAATGGGGATAAAACAAGGGGACCCATTGGCTCCATAATTATTTTTCTTAGATATAGAAACGCTTGCTTTTAATATTCGACCAGACGAAGCGAAACATGGTTCGAAAATAATAGCGTATAGAATTAAAAACGTCATTGCACGCTGATGACATAACAGTCTTTTTCTTTCGGACAGTTTGTCACTTACCCACATTTTAGCCAAGCTGTAAAGATTCTGACAGTAATCATCGCTATCAAAACGAAGGCATTATTGAAAGGAGCTGCTTGACATAATCAACATTCACTACAAAATATCCAGTCTGAGAAGTCTCTAACTATTTTCGGCGTGGACATATTTTACTCCCCTAGTGCCTTTTTTTTCACAATTACGAAATGTTCTTGCGAAAATAAAAGGGCAATTGAATTTATTAAGAATTGGTAAAGTACACATTTTCGAAAATTTTGCTTTCTCAAAATTATTATATCTTGCAAGCATGTTGAAATACCTTAATGGTTCATTAATAAAGAAAATAACTTATTTTGGGGTCAATTTCGAATGGTCCAAACAGGATTAAACGGGAAGCAAACACCTGATTGAAGTACTAACGCTAATATTTGGGATTTTTAACCTTTGATTTATTTACAACATGCTATAATTTTTGAAAATTGGAGTTGACTTGGCCTTTAATCCCTGTAAATATATCTAATACATATAGTCTTAATCTATGAGATCTATAATGACCAGCATCAATACTGCTCTAAGAAAATCAGAGTTTAAAGAAAATATCCAAGGTACAATCGCCATTAGTTTCCTCTCGAAATTAACTTACTGGGCAGTTTACGAAAGATGTGTGGGCAAATTCAAGCTATTTGTTTCAAGGATGAAGGGATGACTAATTGTTTAACTTTGTGCATAAGAGTTGAGTTAGGTAGAATTTGAAAGATAAAATATTGAAATTTCAAGAATCAATAAAAGAAAATTGAAATCTCTACTATGTTGGCAGTGTAATCACAGGGTTCAGACGGGTCAGCTAGGAAATTTTTTGAAAGTTAGGGAATTTAAATATACTTTTTTTCAGAAGAAAGGCGTAAGAAAAGTCAGGGAATTTGTTAATGTGTATTTATTTATTTTATTTTATTCATTCATAGCAACCAAGGGTTGGATTGATAATAATACATACATTTTTAACATAATTATGAACATTATTAAATTCAGTACAATGAAATTGATAAATTATGAATAGAAATACATGTAGATCATTAATACAAAAAACATTACAAATCATTCAGGTATATCATATTACAAATAAATCATTACAAGAAAAAGGGGGAAACAACATAAACTTGAATAGACAAGAACAGGGAGCAAGAGAGGGAAAAAGAAAGAAAGTGAAGAAGTGAAAAAACTGCAATGATCAATCAAGTAAACTATACATCCAAATATAAAAATATATAATATAATTATAAAAAAAGTCAACGTATGGGTATAAACTGAAGAATTTTTTTTTGCATGTACTGAATAATTATTCCAAATTGATCCTCTGAAGCAAGGGTAATATATATATATATATAATTAAAAACCAGCTGCATATGTCGGGGTACAAGTTCAAAAGAATATTGAATGGTTGAAAATGTATATTGCACTAATTACCTGCTTATTGTAAATTATACGCACACCAAGGGATAAAACTATTCTTAAATCGGTTTGTTTTACACCTGGGCAGACTCACTTGTTTACTTTTCCTAAGGTTATATCTTGTCTCTCGTTTTGGTGGGAGAAGGTCATTTAGTTTGTGTTCAGGTTTCTGTATTTGGTTGAATAATTGCAAGCACATATTATTTCTACGATCAGCTAGGGGATCAATGTTCAGTACATTTAAAGCATCAGTATAAGACAGGTTGGGGGTGATTATTCTCAGGGCACGTTTTTGTATTGATTCCAATAAATTAGATTGCTCTTTGGTTAGGCCCCCGTGAAAGACTTGACATGCATATTCCAAAACGGACCTTATGCAAGCTTTGTAGTACCTGCACAAATCGTCTTGAAGAAGACCGGCTCTACGTAATTGGACCAAGAGAAACAAACGACTTACAGCCCTTGCATAAACCTTTTCCACGTGAGTATTCCAATTCAATTTATCATTGATCCATAATCCTAGCAACTTTATTTCTTGGACACAGTCTACGGGTTTGCCATCAATGGTAAGTGGATGAACAATCGCATCTTTAGTAAAATTTATTACCATTTCATTTGTTTTCTGTTGATTGATCTGCATATCATTGGCCTTTGTCCATGTAAGTAATTCGTCTAATGCACGTTGTAAGGAACACTGGGATTCTACCTTACATATATCATACACAGTGGTATCATCAACATACTTAACCATGGGGAATTCAAGCTTTAGATCGGATAGCATGATGGTAAACAAAAGGGGACCTAGTTTGGTCCCTTGCGGAACACCGCCTTGAACGTACTTCCACTCGGAGGTGGATTGACCAAGTTTAACCCTCTGTTGTCTCTGACATAAAAACGATCTTATCCAACTGACAATTTTATCATGGACACCGAGCCTGACAAGCTTATTGATTAACACATTGTGATTAATACGGTCAAATGCCTTTTTGAAATCTACTAGTAGTATGAACCCTAAATCAATGACTAAATTTGCATAATCGATGAGTATTAAACGTGTGGGACATTAACAAATACATCATCCATTTTCATAAATTTCAATAGTTTTAATAAAATTATCAACAAAGTGCTGGGACATATAGCATAGGGGGTATGTCATTCACATTAGGAATTTCAGTTCGTCAACTAATTGAATATCAAAATAAGGGATGCTCCAAAATGTGCATGTCCTGCACGCCTAACTTTTTGAAAATAATATGTTTGAATTACTTTAACAGATGCGACATTGAATCTGAGTGAAACTTTAAAAAGTTTTGAGTTACCTTGGGACATGCTAATTCCATAACAAAGAGGATGGATCAGATTTATCTAATTAACAAACCAAAATTATTAATTACCTAAACGCATGGGACACTATGTAGGCCTACATCAAAAAAAGATTGCTAGCCATGCTAAAAAATGGAGCTTAATACTAAAGCACAGTACAGTTCTCTTTGTGGTGTTAGCCCACTGTCAAGAAGTTGTCTGTTAAACTGGAACCCCCCTACCCCCCCCCCCCACCGAGTAATCTATAGGCTTAAAGGGATAGTTGAGTTCTGTTTTCAGACTGCAAATGCCTTCAAAATGCATGGTTGTTGCTCTTATCGTTATCTACGACATTTCTAATGCCCTTTTAAAATTGTTATGAAGGTAATTTTAGACCCCAAAATGTGTGAAATTTAGCCAATACGATCATACCGATTCAGCTCCACTTTCAACAAATATAGTGACCGTTGATTAATTGATTAATTAATAATAACAATACATGGGCCAGCTGGTTGTGTGTAATATAACCATCAAGAAAAAGCCAACGACAAAACCAACATCGGCATTGGCTGAAATACAACGTAACAGGCGCTATTTCGTTTTTTCAACGGCGTTTTCAAATAAGGGAGTTTACAGATACAATCTGCGCATGGGCATTTAAAGATAAACTTTAGTTCTGGTAAAGAAAAAGAAAATTAATTCTCACAGAATCAAACGAAACTTACACTGAATGTTCAAGATTACAAATAAATGACATGTGCTAAACAATTTTGGAAGAAAATGTATACTGGCTGAGTAATGAGCATAAGAAGACAAGGAAATCAAGGTAGTACCAGCCCCGACACCATGAGTGTTGTCCCATATATAGCTTTCTGTGTAAGTGCTTGTTACTTTACCAAGACTCGGTCATATTTATTATGATTTTGATGAATCCAGAACCTTGCAGTCCACACCAATACGTACATGCTACATGATCAACTGTTTCTGATCCTTTCCACACCTTTTCTTTCACAATGCAATCGCATTACCAGTACTAAAGTTTATCTTTAAAGGTCATTTGTACCAAAAAGGTAAAACCCACCAGAGATGAATACTGGATATGCGCTCATGAAATTTATGTAACATTATTCATTTATGCACCAACGGTACATTCTAAGATACGCAATTGGAAGTATTCTTTTCAAGAGAGCAAACTAAAGGTATTCATGAAGCACATCTCGGAATGTGG